GAGGCTTTGAGGGTGTACTGAGGAACAAAGAAGTAACTGTTCAACTAAGTATATTGAAATACTGTCTGTCAAAGTCTGCCTTTTCCATTGTGGAATTAGGCGGTCTTTAAATACACAAATCTGTTCAAGTCTAGCATGAATGGAACTAATCAAAGGTATCAATTGATACACTTTGGTAAAACTAATTAAGTAGCAAAACGATACTAAAAACAAAATATAAAGCAAAACCAAGTATTAAATGATACTTAAAACAAACCAAGTATCAAAGCCATACTTAAAACAAAACATAAAACAAAACCAATTATCAAACGATACTTAAAACAAACCAAGTATCAAAGCCATACTTAAAACAAAACATAAAACAAAACTAAGTATCAAACGATACTTAAAACAAACCAAATATCAAAGCAATACTTAAAATGTAACCGGTACGGGTACTCTGTTTATGGTTTTGTTTTATGTTTTGTTTTAAGTATCGCTTTGATACTTAATTAGTTTTATCCAAGTGTATCGATTGATACCTTTGATTAGTTTCATTCATGCTAGACATGAACAGATTTGTATATTTAAAGACCGCCTGTTTCTATCATAGAAAAGGTAGACTTCGACAGACAGTATTACAATATACTTGGTTGAACAGTTACTTCTTTGTTCCTCACTACACCCTCGAAGCCTCCTTTAGTTCTCAGCTCTCGCCTCCTCTCTGGAAGAGCAGGCCACCTGCCAACTATCGTATATATTATGGATAATGTAATTAGCACCTTGCGAACATGTTACGTAAAACAAAACATAAAATAAAACTAATAACCAAGTACCCGTACTGGTTACACTTATGCAGAAGTTATTTTCTACCAACTACTCCCTCTCCTCTACCTTGCTCACCAGATCTTCCTCCCAAAAGGTCATTATATCTCCACCAACTCAAAATCATGATTTTGAATTCTCTGGTATAAGAGTGTTTTACTTGTTTTCCTGCTTTTCCAATATTTCTGCTTAATACCGAGTGGGTATGAATTGGTATAACCATTCCCCTTCTGATAGTTCGTTCTTGGCGACAGGGAACGATACTTCTTCTCTTCTTCTTCTTAGCTTCCGATAGCACTAGGCCTCTGCTTGCATTACCAATAGCACAAGACCTTTATCTTCTAACGGAAACACCTATCGTAAGCTTTCTCTAACTCTTCTTTATGAAGAGCTTTCTCTGCATAATAATCATAAAGGTCGTGATAATGATAAAGATCATAAAGATGTTTTTATATTCGTTAAAGTAATAAGTAAGAAAAGTACTTCAAACAAAGCATGAAGAACCTATCCTTCTCAGCCCTACCAGTCTCCTTATATAGTACTCTTCCCACCCTAAGTCATGTGACCCCAAGTGGTCACATGCACAAAACTAAATCATAACAAACTAGTCATATGACCAAAGTAGTCACATGCACCAAACCCATGACCTTGTAGCAAGGTCATGTGCGAAAACTCATAAAAACCAATCATAATACAATAAACAAATCATATGACCCAAATGAGTCATATGCGTGAAACAATAACATACCTATGACTCATAATCATGTGTCATGTGAAAACCTTTTCCTTGCCAAGCCACCTTCGTGACAATCGGTTTCACGGTCCTTCCTGGCCGTTTTTGGTTTGAGCTGGAGGAATCTCGGCTCTGGATTGCGGAGGCCTGTTTTGAAGCACTTAGTTCACTTGCTTCCAATCAAGGTTGTCCTAACTTGAGACAACTTACCGTCACCCATTCCTCTGCAGGATATTGTGGTTCTGCCGTTATCGGATTTAACAATAGCTCTAAATCCATTATTTTTCTAACAACAAGGCCACTCCCCCGCATAGCTGTGGATATGATCACCATTTAAATCCTCCTCACTCTTACAGAATCATGATGCAAACAACAATTCCCAGTGATAATGACGTTATATTAGAGATTGTTCTAGCTTGCCCTATATCGATGGTGTGCCGTACAACCAAGTAGCAAACCAGTTTACTTCTCCTCATATAGCCTAGGTCCCGCTAGCGCGGTTCCGGATATGCCCAGATAATGCGGTACTCATCCATCGTCCCTGAAGATGGTGGTCGTGAGTTTGTGTGGGCGTGGGCTTGTCGAGGCCGCATGAGGTGTGAGCGGAGATGTCTCAATTTATATATGGCGCTATCTAAGTCGTATCGTACTTGAACTGAAACAGGCGAAAGTAGTAGCTAGCTAACTACTCAGACTGAAGCAGGCAAAGATACTGTCAAGGCGCGATGAAAACAAACAGACCCAAAATGGGTGTCAAATTCAAAAGAGAAAAAGGCACAAGAGGCGGGCACAGGATCAATGGGCAGACAGCAGTGAGAGACCACCAAGCCTGCAAAAAAACTCGGGGTGTGAATACCACCTTGCAGACGTCCGACGATTCAGCAAATCGTTGGATGCGGAGAATGGCAGAACAAGCTGAACCTGCAGAGCATGGCTCCTTCCGCAGCAACAGTCTGTCGTCCGCCGCGTTTAGTTGATCTGGAAGTCGGCGGCGGCGGGGTTCCAGTTGATGCCGGGGCACTTCTCCTCGATGAGGGCCTTGAGAGCGTCCCATGGGGAGACATAGGTGATATCGAAGCAGGGGCCCAAGCTGGTGCCGCCCGTGAGTATGCCGATCTTCCTTCCCTTGCCATCGACAACAAGGGAGCCCGAGTCACCCTTGGCGGAGAAGGGACCTGCAGCCCTGTTGCGGCTGAGAATGGCGACTTCCATGGTCGACTGTCCCGAAGCCGCGCCGGCGCGAACCACGGACATCATGGGCGTCTGGCGTCCAACGGTGAGGCGGGTAGTTTTACCCTGCTTGAGGACCATCCTGGCGGGGTTGCCGTCTTGGTCCTCGAGCTCGGGATGATTCAATTCCTCCATGGGCACTTCGCTAAATACCCGGAGAAGACGGGTGTCGGGGAATTTGAAGGATGTCTGGCGTCCCGGGATCGGGTACATCATCCTGATGAGGTCGTAGGGCGCAATATCAGGACCTGTTGCGTTGGACTGTTAGCGCTGACGACCAAAGAAACAAAACAAGGAAGGTAGGACTTACCGAGATCAATGAAATTGCCACCGAAGTTCTGGACCATCTCCTTCTTGAGCTCGACCAGAGCCCAGTCTTCGGTGATCTGGTATGGTCCGACACCGAGCTGCAGAGGTGGCGAGCGGACAAGGTGGCCAATCTCGCGCTGGCTGGGCGACTTGAAGTCCCTCTTGATCTCGTGGAAGGCCGTCTCCATCTTCGTGATTCGATCCTTCGTTTTGTCCAAGTCTCGATTTGCCTCCTGCAGGTCATCAGGCCTCTCCTGGAAGCGACGAATTTTGTCCTCGTAGAACTCCCGCATCATGACTTGCTCGCCAATCCTGGCCTGCACGGCCTCGAGATGTTCTGCGAATGCTCGCTCGCCCTGGCAGTAGACAGCCTGAGGAGGCATGCCGGCCCCACGGAATGTGTAGTCGAGGGTGTCTGTCGCTGCATCCTGGTCCATATGACAAGCGACGTGGTGGCAGGTCAGCATGACTGCCTTGCCGTTCACGACGCCGAAAATGGTGCCGGTGCCCTGCTGCTGGTTGTTCCCTTCGAGCGTGGCAATCGACACTCCAAGACCGGTGCTAAGAGGGCCGCGGATGATGGCAGCAGCGTCGTCGTTGTTGGGCGCAAAAAGGGCGGCTGCGTTCCGGGTAAACGATTCACGGACTTCGACCTTGACATCGGCGAGATCCTCATTGCTACGCAACATGGCGATGACGGTGTCGCCCATGAGCTTCGCGGCTTGGAATGTCGTCGAACCGGGCTTAACAGCAATCCAGACGACAGGGCCGGTCATCTTGAGCGTTCCGTTGGGCTGCCTGGTGCCAAAACGGACACCGTCGATGGATGTCCAGTGTACGTTGGGGTGGTCGGACGTGATCAAATCTCGAACCTTATTTGCAAGGCCCTTGTTATTCCAGAGGTCGACAATCGGGTGGTTGAAGACTCCATGTAGCTCCTTTTCTACCGGATACGCCTCCATCCCAGTTGGTTTTTTGAAAGGCGTTTCCGCGGAATCGCTGCGGTATACGAGTGGGGCAGGGTCGGGGCCGGTTCCGTAGTAGTAGAAGGCGGATTCGTACTGGGAAGGACCACCATCCTCAGGGACGATGGATGAGTATGAGTAGCTGCTCAGAGCTTTCTCAACGCGGTTCCAGTCGGAGAGGGAGCTACCAGACAACCCCACGGTCTCGGCCGAGATGGAGGTCCGGCGATCCACATGCCTCGTCAGATGGATGTCCTTACATTCCTCGTAGAACTTGGCCCGGGCGGTATCACCGGACACTTGGGCATCGTCAGTACGGGGGATTCTGGCAGGGGAACGGGAAATAACTCACTATTGATGCCTTGGGTGAGTGGGATGACGAATGAGTTGGGAGGGAGAGAGAGGTAGTCGAGTGGTTGGGTGAGAGGAGGGGATGGAAGGCGAAGGGGGGGAAACGCTCGACTTTAATAGTTGAAAGACGAACACGTCATCCGTAAAGCACCACACCGTAGCTTTAAACTCGCCCCTTATTACTAGCACCTTTTTGCTAACGCGCCGTAAAAACTCAAATAATCGGTCGGTGTGCTAGGAAGTCCATTTAAAGGTGAGTCATGCCCAGGCAGGAAGATGCCGATCACAATATCAGCCCCCAAGATTCTTCACGCTAATCAAAAATAATATTTACGCCATCCTCCAGATCTTCTTCATCATCATCTACACAAATATCTCCTAATGTAACGATCTCTCCTTGGATAGTTAGTTCTTGGCGATGGGAAACGATACTTCTCTTCTCCTTCTATTTCTTTCCTTAGTCTTACGATAGCACTAGGCCTCTGCCTACGTTACCAATAGTACAAGACCTTTGTCTTCTATCGGGAATGCCTATTGTAAGCTTTCTCTAACTCTTCTTCGTGACGAACTTTCCTTGGTGTAACGATAACGTTGCAATAAAGATAAAGATCGTAATGTGTTTTATATTCATTAAAGTAATAAGTAGGAAAAGTACTTAGAAATCAATCTAATTTTTATTTAAACTTGTACCACCAACACTGGCATACGACAAGCCCTTGCCGGCACAGGGATACCGCTAACCGGTATACCACTAATCCTAAGCTAACCAAGTCTATAGTCCCATACCTGTGATCCCCGAGTCATGCCCACACGAAAACTAATTACAAGACCGTCAAACAACCCAGTGCCCGCCCCAGTCCAAGTCCATAGCCCCTCTGGTATGAAGCCAACCAGCACTAAGCGTAGCCAAAGCCGAGCATAAGACCGACCCAACCAGGTTCCTCATCCAACAAAGTATAAAATCACTACCACCCGGTCTGAACACCATCCCGCAAAACCTCCACTACAGTAAAAAACCAACAAAAAATCAAACTAAACCTACAGGCGACACAATGGCAGTAAGGAGGTGACCAACATGTCCACCTCTCGCATCTGCATGCCCGGCCGTCGACCCTATAAACCCACTTTACCAAGTGCCTCCGAAGAGCGTAATGGTGAGGAGGACCTGTACCTGGTACCTGTCCCCCAAAAAGCAAAATCCATAAATAAAAGAAAAACATAAAGGTAGTGACAGATTGAAATAGTCAGTGGGGCCTATCTCCCACCCATGGTGCCTTGCTCCCGCCAGCCATGCCTACTGCCAAACCAAAGAAACCAAACAAACCCCACAAAACCCAGCACGCAAGACCCAAACAAGTCCAACCAGGTGGTGACAACCTACTATCCGCACAGGTGGCCATCAGCCAACCGGCCCGTCAATGAGCTTTACAGCACTCAGCAGCTTCGCCCAACAGCCCAAGCTGGACTGGAAATACTTAATTAGACCTCGCCCAACCTAACGCAGGCCTGACCAGTGCTTGCAGGTGCCTCTCCCCCCACAATCAGCCCTCCTAAGCCCCATACACCAGACGCCACAGAGCCCATCCAGCCCCCCCAGCCCCTCAGACAGATCAACCATCCAATAGCCATAGGACAGCGTATACCCAGCCCCATCAGGCAGCCACTGGTCTTGGCCACACGAACAGAGCCCCAACCCTCAATACTGTATAGCTGAGGGGGGCCCACCAGCCACAGTTGGGAGCCACAAAGGAGGCAGCACCAACACCCAAAGGCATCGGCACCAGCCAGACCATCCAACCCAGCCGAACCGAAGTCCAACCAAGTCACAAAAGAGTAAGCAGAGCCAGCCAAAGCTAGTCCCACAGGTCCGGCAAATGTACAGACTAAACACTGGGCAAGAGGCACTCACAACTAACGCGACAAGAAGGGAGAGGTAAGGGAAACAGAAGCAGTCAAACAGAAGGTAGGCCCCACTTGCAATGAGTCAAGCCGCCAACCACAAACCACAACTGAACCAATCCAACGCACAGACAATGACAGTGTCTGGCAGCCAATCGTCCTACACCACCTCGGGTAGCAATAGACAACCACACCAGGGGGCAGAGTCTTTCAGGGTCAAAGCCATCCCTACCAAGGCAGAGAGGAGACACCTGACTGAACCACCATAAATGCCACAAGGACAAAACTCCTAGGGAACGGTGATAAACAACATCATAGGACTTCCAACCGTAGAAACAGGTAGTAACGAGGAGGGAAGGCGCCGGTGAGGCCCCCTCCCCAGTGGATTGATGCGGCCGGTACAACTCGTTGATACTTGGGAAGGTCATCAGTTTAACCCAAGGGCGTTTTGTATCGTGAGAACTAAGGACTCAATTAAAGCCCAACAAAAGACATGAGCTGGCCCAAAGAACGACACGGGTGATCCCTTCAAACACAATGTTCAATTCCCTCAATCAAACGCGAAACCTGCGAGTAGACGATAGATAGGAAGCCATAGACATTTTACCGAAAAGGGCTTGAAAAAAAACTAAGCGACCGTGATGAAGTGCTCGAAGTGACAGCATCGTGAGAAGCCATCAGACGACGAAACGAGAAGCAAACAAGTAATCCGCCACACAATGCCAATAGACCTCAACACCAAGAACACCAGCAACTACTGAGTGAACTCAGATATCTCCCCCAGAATCCAAGGCATCAAGGCCCACCATGGATACGGAAGAATTGCCCGGGGCGAAGCGACAGCAAGGACGAGGAAAAGTACTTAGAACAAAGCGTGAAGAACCTATCCTCCAAGGTCGCATCGGCCTCTTTATATAATGTTCTTCCCGCCCATAGTCATGTGACCCAAAGTGGTCACATGTGTGAAACCAAATCATAACAAACTAGTCATGTGACTAAAGTGGTCACATGCTTAAAACCCATGACCTCATAGCAAGGTCATGTGTAAAAGCTCATAAACTAATCATAACACAATAAACAAGTCATATGACTCGACTGAGTCATATGTGTGAAACCCATGACCTCATAACAAGGTCATGTGTGAAACAATAACATACCTGTGACTCATAACCATGTGTCACATGAAAACCTTTTCCTCGCCAAGCCTCATTTGTGACATTAGCTCCTCTCCCCCTAAGCCTGAATCCCATCAGGCTCTTTCCCCAAGCTTCAATAGTTCCCATCCTGCCTAGCGCATAGACCTCCGAAGCCTATTGAACTTGTCATCCGCTTCCCTCCATCTTACCCCCACCGTTTCCAAGGTGAGGTTCGCCTTCTCAATTGTGTGCCTCTGAACATCATTCAGCTGTTGTAGCTTCACAATCATTTTGTCGTTTACCAAAATTGTGGCTTGGGCCTGACCAAGTTGTTTCTGGAGTCCTCGGATTTACATGTATAGGCTCCTGGCGTCCGGTTCCATTTCCATCAATGAGTTTTGGGCTCCCCCCTCCCTGGGCCTCATCCTCGAGGCCCTAGCTCTCTGCTATACCGTGGCATCTTTTCCTTCCAACTCTTCCTTTGTCCAATCCTTCTGCAGATAGTATCCCGCAGAGATTTTCTTCATTCTGTGCATCTTGCACGTATTGTTGAAGTTCTGTTTCCAGTGGTTTAGGACATAGTCCGGGCGTGGACCGAACTTTTTGTATTCTCTCGGAAACCATCCCGAGCCTTCCTGGTCCCCGTAGTGTGTAGGACATCCATTGTCGTAGCATACTGTCCATGACATGGTGTTATGCTGTGCTTGTTTTTCACTTTCCCTGAGTTCTTCGTCAGTCGGCTCCATGAATGAGTATTCGGGGCTGATTGGTATAGTTTGGCAGAGGCTATCACACCAGCCCTCGTGTTGTTACAATGGTGCCGGAGCCTTTCCCTCGCTTTTGTCTTAGTTGAACGTGATCATTACCTGGGTCGAGCTTGTCTGGGTATTGCTGGTGGAAGGTTGAGATGGCATCTTGTGCGTGTTCAAAGTTGTGTGAGAAGTACCAAGTTTTATCGTATTCGGGCCAATATCCTGTCCACTTGGCTCAGTATTAGAGGTACCCGTAGAAGAAGCGAGAATCGACTATTTTGTCGTGCTCGTATTCTGGTTCTCCATCGAGTTCGATCGGAGGAGGAGGAATAATTGTTTGTGAGGGGAACTTGTTGCCATTGTGTAATTCGAGGAGTGAGATGTAGAATGTGTGGTGTATTCGCATCGAGGGTGGAAGGTCGAGTTTATAAGCTCGGCTGTCCACCCTTTCCAGTATCCTGAATGGTTTGATTTTCTTGTAGTCCAATTTCTTTAATAGTCTTGTCATATGGATATTGCGTGGTATTAGCCATACCATATCTCCCGGTTGTATGTTTGGATCTGATCTTCGCTGCTTATCGTATTATTCTTTTTACTGTTGTTGTGCTTGACTCATTTCGTATTGTAATGTCTTGTGTAATTTTCCCATATCTGTTTTGTCCGGTATTATACTATTAATCGTAGGATATGTGGTCTGACTTTGTGGATGTTGTCTGTAATTCATGAAGAAGAGTGTTGTGCTGATCGTTTCTTGCTTTCCATTATTGTATGTGAATTCGGCCATTGATAGCAGTTTGTACCAATCATCTTGTTGGTAATTGATATAGGCCTGTAAATATGGTTTGAGTATCGCGTTTATCCCTTCCCTTTCTCCATCTGTTTGCGGGTGAAATACTGTACTCAGCCTGTTTTGTATCTCCATTTCTCCAATTACTTTCTTCCATAGTCTTGATGTGAATAGTATTCCTCAGTCGGTAATGATATTCTTTGGGAGGCCGTGAAGTCGGAAGACTTCTCGGAAGAATGTTTGTATAAAATCCCTCGTGTTGATATCTTTTCTGACAGGAATGAAATGACTCATTTTGGTCAGACGATCCACCACGACCAGGATGCTATCACGATTTTCTGATGCCGGTAGGTCTGGATGAAATTCATAGTAATTGTTTTCCATTGTCGTTTGGGAACTTCATTCGATTTCAGTAATCCATATGGTGTGTGTTTAGCCGTTTTTGTCCTTTGGCATATGTCGCAGTTTTTGACATATTGTTTGACATCTTTGCGCAGTCCTCACCAATAGAATAACCTTGTGATAAATTCCATGGTTTTAGCCGTTCCTCCGTGTCCTGCCATTTA